ATCTCCAAGCCTGTAGCGCTGCATGGGGTTACATATTAGCTGTTTCTCCAGGAGATGGTCTTTCTTTGGTATTGTTTTCCCCTCAAGAATGATTTGAAAGACAAAACATGTAGGTCTTGCCTGTGATTCTTTGGCAACCTTAGCTTGGTGAGCCTTGTGTTACTTCTTTTCAGGTATGCTGGTTAGCTGTATTTTAGAGCTATGCCCTATGGTCCAGTCAAACTTGAACAGGATTATCTTTAGCAAACAACAAATCTACGCCAACAATGTTAAAAATTAAGAATGCTTGTGAACAGTATTGTATGTGTGCTCACTGACTTCCTAAATGTTAGAAATCCAGATCAGAGGCCACTTTTGACACTCTTTTGTCTAGGCAAGAAAGTCTGAAGAGATTATTTCACCAGCCTCATCTAAGCTATAAAAGCTTGAGACAGTCCTTATAACTAACCCATTTGAAAGACCCCAGCAACAGAAAGCGAGTCAGCATTCCTTTGTGAGCAAAACAAGAAATAAGTTGGACAACTTTTGACCATATGTTGTCATTGTCTTGCATAAAACAAGTCGTTTTGTAACTCCTGTGTTTATGAGCTGGGTACTAGACAAGGCAGTGTTTGTTAGGGAATTTGCATCTTGCTAAGGAAAAATTACTTGAAAATCTCTCAAGGTGAAGCTTTCTTGAGAAATAATTTCTGGAACTGTTTGGAAATACAGTTACTCTCACATGGAACCTTGGTAGTATTCCAGAAAGAGGTGCTGTAATAGCTGTTTTTCTTCATCCACAAGGGAAGTAACTAATTACTGAGCCATAGTTTTTTGTGCTTACTCCATACAGAGAGGCATTCAGTTATATCTTATTCCTTTTTCCATCCATTTCTAGATCTCTTCCTCCTTCAACAACTTGGATCCCTTTGGCACAGGACAGGTCCTTCCTCCTCTGCAGGTGCCTGAGCAAGTAGCTCAGACCACCATGATTCCACCATTAAAAAAGCCACCCAAGTGGATTCGCAGACCTGTGGGTGTTTCGTTTGCAGTAAGTGAATAGAGCATCCTTAGCTTAAAATGCAATAGATGTGTTGTCTTGTGACACAATCGCTTTCTTTCACTAGAGAAACAGGTTTGTCTCCCTGTTGCTAGTTGTTTTAATGCTTGTTTAAGGTGCAGTCTGGTGTTTCATGGAGCAAAACTCGTTTGCTCAGCATTCAGATATATTTCCAACAAGAAAGAGTCCTGTAGCAGAGAAAGGGAGGTTATAAGTAAGAGTTAACAAAGCTAAGGAAGACTCATAAAAGCTGTCCTTGTAGTCTGTGACATGCATTCCCATTCTCCTCTGTCTTTCTCCTTCCTATCCAGGTATTTAATTTTCTTCCCCTCTTTGCTCCTAAATCAAAAGGCTGAATTGTTCTATTAGTCTGTGGCTTGGCTTGTTCTCTGCCTGTCTAATGCCTACCATTCACATGATAGTTCTTGTCATTGCAGCCTACCTCTCCATGTCAGAAAAGAGCACACAGTTCCAAATGGTACTGTAATTTGCAATTGGCTAGGCCTGATAGCTCTTCATTCAGCAAGGTGGACTCAAGCTCCAGTCATGATCACAAGGAACCCAAACAGTTCAATGTGTAAGGGACTTTGAGGGAGTTCACATCACAAGCCCTTCAGCTGAAGACTGATAACCATCACACTTGTATCTGTGCTAAGTGAGTTGTTCTTACCTTTGTTTCTAAGAATGCTTACTGTGTCTCCCTCTGTCTTTCTCAGTTTGGAGGAAAACTTATTTCCTTTGGTCTTACCAAAGCTCCTGGACAGCAAATGCAGCAGACTTACCCACACCAGGTATTCATCAGTCAAGTCACTACTGAAACAGAATTCCTGCTCCGATCCAGAGAACTGCAGATGGCCTTGCAGTCAGGGAACCTCCTTGATTACTGCCAGGGCAAGATCCAGACATCCAAGTTGCCATTTGATGAGAACCTTTGGAACTTCTTGAAGGTAGGATAGCTGTGGTGAAACACAGAGGTCAGTTCTTTCATGGTCCTAGGGTGGAATGTGTTTGTTGTAGTCATCTCTACCCCTTTATATTCCTGTTCTTTAAGATGTCAAATGGAGCTGAATAGGCAGAGATTAGCTTGGCAGTTCCTAGACCATCCAGGCAATTAATAACCAAGCACACTAAGTATGCATACAGTCATAGCTCTGATTTGCAGTTGTACCTCAATTGTAAATATGTGAAAAAGTTGAATTTCACCCTTTTATTGTTGTTATAACTTAAATTCCATAGATTTTCCCACAGTAGTCGTTAGGTGGACTTGTCATAGCTGAGTTCCTTGTCTATAAACTGAGCTCTAAACTTTGCTGCTGCCAGAAGCAGCCAACCATTGGCAGTGTATAGATGTCCAGGACTTTACATATTTTCTTGTCTTTTTCAATATCCTTTGGGACTCAGGTGAACCTGGAGCCGGAGTCCAGGACTAAACTCCTTAAGCTGCTGGGCTACAGTAAAGAGGATCTGCAAAAAAAGGTAAGGGGTCTTTCTGATAGAGAGTAACCTTTACAAGACTGGAGCTGCTGCAGGAGAGTTGTAAGGTCCCTATTGGAAATGAGTAAGTGATCTCACAGCACACAAAAGACCAGAGTATATGACATAACATCTAAGAGGCACCTCAAGTATCACCCATTAAAAAGCAAATGTGGACACTTTTAAGGGTATAATTGTGGCTGTTCTGGATCAAACTGAAGGTGTCTTAAGCCCAGTTATTTTGCTTCCAGTTGTTGGTGCTCTAGGAAGTATATAACAACAGTGCAGTTGTGAGAGCTTCTTCAAGCATCCAGCTCTCTGCATCTCAGGGGATTCCTCAGCCAGGAAGAAGATGACGGATGAAGACAGTCTGGCATAGCACTGATGGAGCTGCAGAGAAGGAAACTCTTGCAGCAGCATGCACAATGCTTTGAAAAGAATAAATAACCTCTAATAGGCAGCCAGCCAGGAATAGGGAGAGGTGGAACTTTTCACACAGGTGAAGGAGCTGGGAGAATTGTGTCTGGGGCTTGCCAGTCACTTGGTGGCTTTGCTGCCCAGGCATTTCATCTTGATAGGCTTTTCACTCTGGATGTCTGTTACTTTTCTAGATTGCTTCACGTTTGAGTAATGGGCTTCCAGATAAACAGCCACTTCCTGAGGCAGATGAGACAAACGCTGCACAGACAGATCAGGTATGTCCTGTACATGTTGTCAGTCTGGGAGTGCTGTGGAGGGCAGAATGAACAGGAAAGTGTAATTCCAACCCCAAGTTGTTGGGCTTAATGCAGGCATCACAGAGGGCAGTTCACAGGCCCTCGGACAGATCCTCACAGGGTCAGAATAAATGATCATAACAGTCCCTTCTGGCTTTAAAACAATTCAACAAATGATGAAGATGGACTTCTGGCTGTTAACACTGCAAAAAGGCTTGCTTCACCAGTGCGCTGATGTCTTCAATGATAGAATTAGCCTTACCTCAGGTTAACTTCATGCTGCAGTTCTGGGTTTCCTTTGTGAAGCTTCTGCTGTGGTATTTCTTTTGCATGTCTTTCCTTTTCACCTCTGTTCTTTGAAATGTATTCTCGTGGTTTGGGGATGTCCATCTTCAGATGCTTCCCAAGGCCTGGTTCACCATGCACTATAAATTTTGCTCCTTTAAGTTATTTAAAACTGCTATGCTCAAATGACTATGCTTCTTCACAAACCTTAAACACTTGCTGAGATATTCTAGGGACAGCAGTTATGCCCTCCATTTTGATAGAGCATCAAGCATAGCTGTGATCCTACAGATATCGTTTGTTGGGCTTATCTCTATTCCATCCATAATTACTCAGCTTGCTCAAGGGCTGGCAGTTGAGTTGATGAATGCTGGCCACCAATACCGTTGGCACGTATGTCTTACACTGTCAATCTCCTAAGCTTTGTCAGTAGCAGCACTGCACTTGTTGCTGCCCTGGTGAAACTGTGCAGATTGATGGAGCAGTCACAGGAGGCATGATGGATTTCCAAGTTGAAATCAGATTTATATGAGCACGTTCAACCAAATGGAGAGCAGCCACATCCCACTGTGTGTTCCATTAAGCCATTTTGAGCAAGATCTGTGTGTTCATTGAATTAATTAATCTCTTGCATTCCTTGCACAGCTTTTGGTAAATTCCAGTGATGATGTAGCTGCTGTTTCCTCCTCTTCAGCCTTTTTTGACAACCTCATCCCACAGAATATGAGCACGTTGGAGATTCCTGTGACAGAAGGTATGTTACATGAAATGTGTTTCTGCCCTTTTAGGAAAAGGAGAGAGGAGGGAAAGTCAGAAAATTAGAGAGACCAGAAGGAATCTGATCCACTCCAGCAGATGGATACTTTTAAAACACATGACCTATCCCAGTATCACACAGCATTTCTCAGCATTGTGCAAAGAAATCAGCTTTGCAGATTAGAGACCTGTTAAAAAAAAATCTTCTAGATAATGGAAGACTTAATGTCAAGTCAGTAGTTTTTTTAAAGTGCAAGACCTGATTTGACTTTCCAAAGCTGCTTTTAGCTGGGCTTCCGTATGTTACTGGTTTTTACCACTCAGTTTTTAAAACAAGCATCAGTGCATCTGGATGATGACCCTGTGGGCTGACTTTGCTTCTCACCTCTGTAGATACGGATGGACTCATCAGCCAAGCCCTTTTGTTGGGGAATTTTGAGAGTGCAGTGGAGCTGTGCATGCGGGCAGAGCGCTTTGCTGATGCCATCATCTTAGCTATAGCTGGTGGGGAGAACCTCCTAAAGGAGACCCAGAAGCGCTACTTTGCCAAGCATAAGACAAAACTCTCCCTGGTAAGTGACAGTTTTGTGTACTCACTGAGCAGGGGAAGGTGTCCAATATCTTGGCAGATGTTTGTCTGAATATATGTGGAAATACTTTGGCGAGAGGTAGAATGTTAGCAGAATCTGTGCATCTCCTCTTGGCTAGACATCAACTCTAATCTCTTGGTAATTTTGTGACGGCTTCATGTTGCCCATCCAGGATGCCTGTGTTTTCTGTTCCTTTCTTTTAATTTCTGCCTCAGCTCCCTATGCTTGTAACCTGCAGAGCGTAGTGCCCCTTTACAGCTCAGCTAGGAAGGCCCTAGCTTATTAACTGACAAATGAGGAAGTGTAAGAGGGAATAGGATATCCTAACACTGTATTCCCAGTCATTGATACTAGCTGCTCTGAAGCAGGGTGTGTGTTACAGATCTTTAGTTTTGCCTAGTGCAGCTGTTTCCATATTCCCTTAAGTGCTTTGCTGTGCTTTTTTACTTTCTTTAGAGACATTGGGTTCCAATTACTGTTAACATTGGGATGCTAGGATTGGTAGACCTTAATGTACAGTGAAGTAGTTGCTGTGTAGTGCGAAGTGTGCCTGAAAGTGAGCTATCCCTGTGGGTGCAGTCGCTTAAGCAGTCAGCTATCATTGTCTTCAGTGACTGACAGGCCTTCTGCTTCCCTTACAGCTGCTTTCCTCCATTGTGCAGCAGAACTGGCGAGATATTGTTTGCACATGTGATCTGCAGAGCTGGAAGGAGGCACTGGCCATCTTGTTAACTTACTCAAAGCATGAGGACTATAGGGAGCTCTGTGGTATGCAGTGTACTGTTTTGATACAATTTCCCTTAGAGGAGGGCAACTCTGGGCTGCTCACAGAAAGAAGTGGGTACTGCGGAGGAAGGAAAGCACTCCTTATTACTGCTGGCTGGAACTTACTAAATTAGTATGGACTGTTGTGTTAGGAGAATGATATATGCACACTGTAGCTGAGAGTCATGGTGTAAAGTTATATATGCTGATATTTTCTGTCACCTCTACCAATAACATGGAAAAAAAACTGGGATAGGCAGTAGACTGAGAGGCACTAAGAGGGTGATATTTATTCTTTTATTTTGGGGAGAAAGGGATTTCCTTGACAGTAAAAGGTCAGGTGGCTTCATTCCATCTGAAAGATGTTTACCATTCCAGCACATTCCTCTCCCTTTTAAGCTCAATAACAGACATTAATGAATGTTTAATGGCTTCAGTAGTTTTGTCAGTCCTTTTAATAGTCCAACATGGTCAGTAACTGGTTGTTCTGAGAGTCAAAGTTGAGGGACAGTCTAGTGACTGAGTCTGATTAAGTTACTCATGTTGCTTAGCTGGGAACTAGCTCCTGGCTGATGAGAATAGCTAAGTGTTGTTAGATAAATCCCAACACTTTATACAAGTAAGATAACTTGAAATGCAAGAAAACGTGGTTCTTTTACAGACTAAATTGTAAGAGTGGAAAGTGGCAGCAGTGGTGTTTATAGTGAGATAGCTCCAGCTCATTTTTACCTCCTGGCATTTGCTAAACATTGGCATCTACCAAATGTCCCTGGTACTCAACACTGCCATTGCCTGGAGATTCCCACACCTCTTTGGAAAAAGAAAAAAGGCATTGGATTTTTTCACTGAACTCCTCTGTCTTTTTTTCTTTTATATGTCTGGAAAGATATATAAAAATTGGCAGATACATTAAAAAATCACTTTTTTTCAACCAAATTGGCTTTGGGATTTCTTTAGTGATGCCCATTTTTCTGTGTTATCCAAGAATTAAGTGGAGATCCAAAGCTGTCAACACTTTTTCATGCCAAGCCAGAGTAGGATTGCTAAGAGATGAGCATTGGGGTTAATGAGTGCTTCAGAAAGAGAGTGTTAAATGTTGGCTGTATTTCTTCTTCTCTAGATATGCTGGGTGCCCGCCTAGAGTCAGAGGGAGATGCAGCCCTGTCCAATGATGCTTGCCTCTGCTATATCTCATCAGGCAATGTGGAGAGGTTGGTGGAATGCTGGGTAAAAAACCATGAGACTTCGTCACCCCTTGCCCTGCAGGTACAGGTGCTATGATGTTGGTTTGACTCCTCTTTAGGCCAATCTGGTAGCCGTGATCTGTTTGCATTATCCCATCAAAGAGAGTATCTGGCTTCCAGCAAACAGTGGACACTTGTTTGTAGTCACCGAGGTATCTCCTTCTAGCCCAGATTACGGACTTACATCTAAAGGAGACTTACACTCTTAAATATTAAGTGCTTGTGTGTTTAGAGAGTACTGATAACATTGCACTTAAATCCAACCATGGAGAGGAGTTGTGACCTACCTGCCTGTCTTTGTATACTGATGTAATCTCTGCTTCCTTTTAGGCAGGGAAGTTTAGACTGTACCTATTTTCTTACTGGTGGTTGCCTGGGAGTACATTTGCTGCTGTGCTTACCATGCCTAACTAATGCTGCAGTCATCTGGCTGTACCTTCAGAACAACCTTTGGCAAAATAAAATAAAGTCTAGACTGTATTATTCCTCCTATAAGTAGAATGATCAGGCACGGGGAGTCACAGCTTGCAGATGAATCTGGGCTTCTACATAAGTGTTGTTACTTACCTGTTATCCTTACACCAGTCCTGGCTAAGTCACTAACCCCTGCTGTGTCCACCAGTCACTGGGATGAACTAGACAAGTCTTTCACTCAAATATCTGCAGATAATGCTGCCTGCTACAGAGTTCCCTGGTTTTGTAACCCTACTAGTGAATAACAGCAACAAAAAGGCATCTTCAGCATTCCTGGGTATGTTTGAAACTGGCCTCCTCCCAGTTACCCGTTATCAGCCAATGATGCATATATGATTCTACAGATATAAATATTCATTTGATTTCTAGGAGCTGAAGGAGCTTTGAATAACTAAAACCCTTCTGGTCTGTTTGTCAGCAGTGGTAGTTTTTCCTAGTGAATTTTTCTTGGTATAGTTTTAATCCTTCCTCTTCCAAACTGCTCGCTTATAACTCCTGGAGTTACAGTAGTAATTTCCTAGTAAAAAGATCCCATGAAAGATTGGAATGTCCTTGTGGCTTCTGATTTTCTTTTTTCCTTTACCATAAAAGTTTTTGTCCACAAAGTGGACCTGAGGAAATGGTAATCAGTGGTAGTATCTGGTGCAGAGTGGAGTAACTTCTGTTCACATCGGACACGATGTCAGTTGAAAGAGGGGAAAGCCATCTGGTATGGTCTCAGCTTGGGATGGACCAGTAAAATGAGTCAGACCCTGAGAGGTCTTTTTCTTCCCTACCCCTGCCTTATTCAGGATCTCATAGAGAAGGTGATGGTGCTGAGCAGGTCCATTGAGATGATCCAAGGCAGAGCAGGACCAGCGCCAGGCCCTGTCTTGGCAGAGCGAATCACCCAGTATGCCGGTCTCCTGGCATCACAAGGATGCTTGGCAGCTGCAATGAATTACCTACCCAGCAGCTCTAAAGAGGTGAGTGAGAAATGTTTGTTGTGGGAAAGGTTAGTATTTGGGAAAAAATGGTACTTTGTATGAGAGCGCGCTTGGGTTTTGACATGCATCAGGACTTAAGGTTTCACTTTAATTACGGTAACTTGAGAGTAGAGGTGGCATTTTTGTTTTTTTCTGGGACACAGCTTTTGTCTTCTTTTGCTTTTTCTTTGTGGTGCTTTTGATTCAGGGGAAAGGAAGAGAACTATAGAACTGTAAAGTGGTTCCTGGAGAACAGCACTGGGAAGCAATTCTCCAGGGAAGCTGCATCTATTCCTGAAACTAGCTGGTAGAGGAAGGGAATGGGGAGGTCATCTTGCAATTTGAAACAAGCCTGTCTAGTGCCTGAGTGGTGGTAGGGGTTGAGGAGGGGAAAGTCTAAAGATTGAGACCTCATCTGCCTGGGAATAGAGCAAGTGTTGTTCCAGATTGTTGGTTACGGGTTTTGTTTGTTTGTGTGTGGGATTTGTTTGTTTGTTTGTTTTTCCTGGTGTCTCTTGGGGAAATGGTTAGTTTTTCAGGTTGATGCTCAGTGCTTTGGGTCAAGGTCTGTTCTGAATGCCTCCACAGTACCTTTCATCTGAGGCTCTCAAGGCACTTCTCCTAAAGCATAGTTTGTTTCAGCTCCTGATTGAACAGCTCCGAGACCGACTTTTCCATGCTCAAGGAGAGAATGTGGATGATCAGCAGCCACCCCCTTTCCCCTACACTTGTGTCAATGTAGGTGTCACTAAACAAGCATCTCTGGCAGCCAGCAGTGGTTCTGCCCCTGGAGGAGCAGCACACAAAACGGGTCCCAGACATCCAGAGAAGGTAGGCCTTCAACTCAGGTGTTCACGGCTTGGGGAGAAGGAGGAAGGCTACTGGGTTGTGGAAGGCATACAAAGGAATATGAGGTGACACAGATTGCAGGCATTGAGGAAGCATCAGTGATGTCCTTCACTGAAGCAAACACAAACTCTGTGATAATCCAAAAGTAGTCTGTCTGGCATCTTTTCACAAAGCCCTGTCCCAGATGCAGTCACTTGATGAGACTGTTACAAGTGTAGTGATCCACTGATATATCTCATACTGAGAGGAAAAAGGGGCTGTGGTTTGTTCTCACTCACTCTAACTCTCATATCTCAGTAAAGTTAGCATAATATGGCTTAATCTCAGTTCTTGCACAAAAAAACTGTTCAGGAAGTTTTGCTTCCAACCGTTATTAGTTCATTATTGTTCCTTCATTATTTTGTCTGGTTGTGCTTCCAGCAAGTCACTGTTTGGGAACTTGCTCCTGATGACTAATTCTTGTGACAGCAAAAGACTGCTCTGAAGAGTGTGATGCTCGGTTTGTTGAGCAAATTATGTGGTGGGAAAGGCCTTTGATCCAATCCATCCAGGGCACTGCCAGCAGCAGCATCTTTCTTGCCTGAGAAGTGACAGGGATAAAAAGTGCTTCTGCCTGTGTGTCTATGCACATGACTGTGTCAGCCATTTGCAGGTTCTTTGCTCTTTAATTGCAGCCCAGCTATCAGCCATCATTTGCTCCTCCAGCACCTTCTCAGCCTTCAGTGCCTTCTCTCTTCACGCCTCAGCCAGTGCCAGCAATGTCTATGACACCTCACCATGTTGCCCCTCCCCAGGCCAGCAGTGGTCCACAAACAAGTGTCTATTCCAGAGGGCCCCCATACCCGCAGCACAACTTGGGCTTGGTTCCAGCAACCATTTCAGGGCCAGGTAAGCACTGTCTTGATGCTCGTGTCCATCCTCTAGGTTTTCTTAGACTAAAATCTTCAAGATGGATGGCAGCTCTACTTTCTTTCTCACAGGCCTATTGCACTTGCAAAGAACAATTCAGCTGTCTGAGAGGTTCAGTGCTTCTGACATCTAGTTCTAGCTACTGTTGCTGCACGTCCACTGATACTAAGCATATACAGGCGTGGAGAAGCCACGAGTAACTTTGTGGCAGAGTTCAACTGATGTAGCCTGGGTTATGAGTGATACACCTGGTATGAGTATTCTAGGGTAAGGCTTGGAGAAGGGCAGACTTACTAGCATGAAGGAGAGCATCAGGAGTAGTTTGCACATGAAACAAGTGGTGCTGATACACTCTGTTTTTCATTTGTAGCTGTGTCACAGCCTCAGTCATTTGGACCAGTGGGACTCAGACCTGTTGGTCCTTCTCTGCCAGGACAGTCCATGCCCATGACATCTCCTGGTGTTCCACCACCTGGACCTGCCCTCTTCACTCCAGCCTCAGTCCCATCATCTCAGCTTCCAGCAGCTTGTCCTCTCCCTGTGGCAAGCCAGTCTCCTCTAGTTTTCTCTTCAGCACCTTTCAACTGCCCCATGAACATGGGTTACCCTCAGGGAGGTCCTGGAGCTCCATCTACTAAGCCCCTGCCAGCAGCCAGCATTCCTCCTCCTCCCACAGGTAAGTACTACTTGTGTATCCAGGACACTCCTGGATGGGGTTTGCAGTACATAATGGGTATGGACCTTCTGAGGTCTGGTCTGTCACCATAAAGGCTGGATGTGGTGCTGAGGTTAACCTTACAGGCACATTGAGCTGAGTCTTGCTGTGGTGGTGAAACACAGCAGTGGTGACAGAGTCATTCAGCCTGTTCAGCTCGCTGCTCTTCTGTCCCCCAGCTTATGGTTACAAGAGGCTGTCTCTTCAGGTCCCCAGTGCCCCCTGAGTAGTCATCTGCTGAGAGGCATCTGCTCTGACTGAAACAGTGGTGGTTCCCAGGGAATGCCTGGTGGAAGGCTTGCTGATCTCACCCCTGCTTATCTAGCTTACATAAGGAGTGCGTTTGAAATGCTGAGAGAGCAGGGTGTTGCTTCTCTGTCCATGGGACACCCCTTGCTTAGCTTCCAGATAAAATTCCTCTCTCTGCTGTGCTCTCTTAGTTCTCCCCATTTTTTCTTGTTGCTATAAAGTGCATGCCTGGGAATCACTCCTGGATCCCTCTGTGCAGTGCTCTAGACCTAGAGCCTTTCCCTTCTGGGTCTGTAGTTTGAATCCAGTACTGTGAAGTCCTTGCTGGCATGATGAAGAAAGAGAGTGTTGTTGGACCTAGTTTCGTTCCCAGTGGATGGGCATTCCCTTTTTCTGTTTTCCACACCACCACCACATCTGTTGCTCATTAATTCTTTGTTTGCACTCTCAGGGGACAAGTTTAGCCAGGCTGTGGAGATCCCTAAGAGGAACACTGAAAATCCTTAGATTTTTGAGTGTATGCTTCTCCAGGCCACTGAGAGTGAAGGAACTAAGGGTTTGAGGTTTGCCTCCACCCTGAATCCTTTGCTAAGCTGTGTTTAACCAAGGATAGCAAATCCCACTGTGTGAAGCATGTGGGGACTATGCACAAAGGCTCTGAGCTAAGGCTGGACAAATTCGTTCTGAAAAGCTACTGGAGATAGTAGTCCAGGGACATTACTCACTGAGCAAAAGCTGTTGGTGATGATGACTCTCCAACCCTGCCTTGATTTTCAGGTTTCTTCCCTTGGCTAGATCCCCACGTGGATCATGCAGGTAGTACCCAGAGAAGCCTCCAGACCTGTGGTGGAGGTACTATTGCTGCTTCCAGTGAAATGTGCGGTGTGTGTGCATGATTTCCTGTGTGCATGCTCATTGGTATTTGTTGATTCCTTGCATGTCTGTGGGACTCTACTTTCCCCTAGTCCTGGAGGTATTAGAGCATTCTCAGTCTCTGTGTCCCTTCAGGCAGTTGCTGGGCCAGCAGGACAGGGAAGCAGCCCCTTTTTCTTCCTGGTTCTCTAGGCAAGGAACAGACCAGTGGTTGTAATTCATCTCTTGTTTTCTCCCTGTTATGCTCCCAGCCTTATGCATGGCTTTACTTGTGCTTGTGTTTTTCCCCAGGTGGTTTGGAAAATGTGGGTCCCAGCATGAGAAGTGGTGGAGTAGAGCTTTCCAAGCAGAACCTGGGGGCTCTATTTCAAGGGAAACTGGAAAGCCCTTCTGACTTTAGTTACAGGGCAAGGTTTGGCTTTGAATCTCAGTCCATCTGCTAGGGAGAACTAGGACCATAGCATCTGACTGATGCTTTGTACTGATTTCTCTCATTTGGAATCATTGCTGATGGAGAGTAGTTGCCAGTGGGGTAAGGCTCAGTGTCTTAGTGGCAGTGACTGCTGCTTGCGCTGAAGAGCATCTGTCAGGCACAAAAGGTTATCTAGGGAGTCCCAGCTTTATTTAGGAAATCCAAGTACTCGGTAGCCACTTACACCACCAAGCAACCCTTACTGTGTGGAGTGGGATTCTAGAAAAGGAGCTGTCCCTTCAGCAGACAAACAAAAGACCCCAATGTTTCCCTGTTAAAGAAAAGATGATTCCATGGCAAGGATTTCAAGCACTTCCTCAGGCTGAAGGTGCCCTGTGGGAATTCTCTGCTGGGAAATTCCCTTCTCCTGGCAGCATTTATCCCCAGTTTTAATGGCAGTATATGGAATTCCCAGATCAGCAGTGCAAACTGGCTTCCTTGAGAGTGCGTTCTTGCCTGTCACTGTTCTGTTCTTCTTTTTAGCCTGGAAAGGGACTGTAAGGTCATTCAACCTGGCAGGCCAAACTTGCTTGCTTTGGAAACTCCTGAACGTGATCTGAGGCCACTCTTGTTTAATATCTTTATCAAAACTTTTACACTGAAAGGGTTATTGAAGACTGGAACAGACTGCCCAGGGAAGTGGTTGAATCACCATCCTTGGATGTCTGTGAAAACTGTCTAGATACGGTGCTCAGGGACGTGGTTTAGAAGTGGGCCTGGTAGAGTTAGATAACGGTTGGACTTGGTGATCTTAGAGGTCTTTTCCAACCATAACGATTCTATGATTCTCTGAGCAGCTCATGCACACGTTCTCACTAGCGCAATGAAGAGAGGTCTCCACTTGTAGAAAGCCCATGCTCCTGGGAAGCGTCATGGACAAGGGTGAAGGACAGCAACACGTTTGCTGATCTCCTTTCTGCTTGGGGTAACCCTTGACTCCACCATGTGATGGGCTTGTCTTTTCTAGTACAGGCATTGCTGGAGACTGCTGCCATGGGACACTCCTTTCAGGGTTGGTGAGAAATCCTTTCGCAAGTAGTATAGGCAAGCTAGTCAGAGTTTCATCCCAGCAAAATGCAGCGGGATCCTGTTGTCTCATGTCTGATGATTAAGTGCCTGGCGTGAAGGCTATAATTTAAATAGCTGTTTCCTGTGAGGATTCAAAGTGCCACTGGGTTGGAATAGTGCCAGGGACTGCTAGGCCACCAGCTTGGTGGGGGCCAGCAGAGTTCTAGTGCACCGAATCCCCAAGTTAGGAATAAGTGCCAACTTAATTAAACTGCTGATCCAAACTCACCAGAGAGTTATTCTTGAAATCATGGGAAAAGGGAGGGTAAAAAGAAGCTGCCAGAATTTTAATAATAAAGGTAATTAAAGTAATGAAGCACCTTTTGCATCCTTCCCCTGTGATTTTTAAAGCTCAGTTCAGGATCAGTGGCTCATTAAGTGTGGCACTGAGCTCCAGCAATTCTGATGCTGCCCCTTAGAACTATGCCACTTTCTCACAGATTATGCCTGTCTCATGGGCTTGAGGTTATTAATACTGGGGTGACAAAAGAAGCACTGGGGTTTTGTCTAGGGATGCAGGTACTCTTAAAGGACAGCAGCAGATGAGGTAGTTGGAATTCGACCTTTGCAGAATCAAGTGTGGTCGCAAGTCTTTAGATATTGCGTTGCTGGATGGATTTTTACTTATCTGGAATGAGGTTAGAAGCCAAGTACCACGGAAGCATCTGATAGTTGGGAAGCCAGCAAATTTGGCTAAGCTTTGGTTCTAAACATGATTTTGGAAGGGGAAAATTTCAACCCACCCTTCACTTCCACCCTGCCCTGTTATCACAGCAACTGCATTGCTGAGGACTGCCACTGTGAGGCACTGCTGCGAGCGTTGAGGAGGAGAACTTTCTCACCCACAACATAGCCCTTGCTGTGGCACTAAAGCGCTAGATTCTCTGGGGAACCCCAGGAACTCCCCGACCCTGATGTGCATACACATGCAGGTCCCAACCAAGGGTCAGGCCTGACTGTGAGGTTGACTTCTGCAGCCTGTGCTGAATGCAGAAAGCTTCAGTAGCTGTGATAAAGCTTTCTTTGTGGGAGTGGTTGTTTGCCAGTTCAATCTGACCAGATATCACCTCATGAAGCCTGTGCATGTATTTGGAGGCTAAGAATGTAATTAAAGAGAAAGGGAAGCAAGAGCAGTTCTTGGGCCTATGAAGTGGGCCTGAAATTCCTTGGATGAAATGGTCTGAAGCTGCAATGATGGGGGCCATGGCCCTTTTGCTGAGGGAAGTTCCAAACCATGCAAGTAACCATGAGTTCTTGCTGTGGCCACCTTCTCAAAGTCTGACATTAGTGTCTTGTTCTCTCTTCTAGCAGCTCAGGAATCTTGGACTGATCCCTCTGCTGTAAGAGGAGGCCTTCAAAAGAAAAAGGTAAGCTTTCAGCTGCAATATGTGTCGGTTGTCTTTTAGCCAGGGAGCTCCATGCAACAGTTACATTCTTATAAATGCTCCCTGCTGCACTCAGCAGATCTCAGTCCATGTTAGTCTGTCTACTTCTGCAGTACATGCATAGCTGGACTGGAGTGTAAGCTGTCTTGACCCTTTGCCATCCAAACTTGCATGCC